ACACTTTCATCTGCAAAAACAGAGCAGCTGGGACAGATTGTGTGTGTGTGTGTGTGTGTGTGTGTGGTCTCTGGAGTATCAGTGTGCTAGTTTGTGTGTTTTCAGAAAAAGACTCAGTGTATAGTAGGAGTGCATAAATAAAAATAATCAGTCAGTCTTAGTGTAACGCACTGGCTGGTTAGGAATTACTTTCTTTAGAATTTGAATTTAAAAAATAGGGTTAATGTTAATTTTTGTTTTATAAATGTGATAAAATTGTGATGTAAATTGTCCTTTCCCTTTGCGGGACAGACTGGTAAGTAATGTACTCTATGCAGAATCTGTGTAGATGTATTTACAACCCGTGTCCGTTGTTTGCAGTGATATTGTGCATTGTGTAAGTAAGAGGCTTCCTTCTGGGCAAGCCAAGAGATTAAGGGGGGCAGGGTGAAGGTGAAGATGGAAAGACTCAAGCCACGCACTATGACTGAATGATGAGGACAGCAGGAGAGCGAGACAGAGCTGACACAAGTGCTTTAAACAGAGGCAGAAGAGAGGAGGTGGCAGAAAAAATGAGGATAGGAGGAGGAGGAGGAAGAGAATGAGGTGATGAGGAAGGTGGTGATGAAAAAGGATGGATGAATCTTCCCAGAGTGACTTTGTGCCTGATATCTGTATAACAAATGGGGAAGAGCAGTGTGAATACAAGTGCTTAATTTCTGCGTGAAATGATATAACAGCATCCTGCGTTAAGCTGTTATGACCCAGAAAAATGTTTGCTGTTTCAAGTTTACTATGTACAAATGTATTTTCTGTAGGAGACAGACAGGGTTACTCCATCTGATTGTTTCAGTTTGTTGGACAGATATCCAACTGATCATATTGGATTGGTGCTTTTGTGGTTAAAAACAGAAAGCTCACATTTTTACATATTGCTCAAAAATTTAAAGGAACACTTAGAAAACACATCAGCTCTCAATGGGAAAAAAAACATCATGCTGGATATCTGTACTGATGTGGGCCAGGTAATGTGTTAGGAACAAAAGGGCAATGCCTCATTTGGTGGAAATTAAAACAATCACCCTGCAGAAGGCTGAATTCAAAAACAACTCAAAAACCAATGATGCAGCAGCCTAGTTCATTTTGCCAAGATTTCATTGCAGCAACACAAAATGATACTGTGTAGTTTGTACCAAACAGATGATGGATGGTGTTCTGCGGGACCAGCTCCTGAACAGTCTGAGGTCCAACTTGGTGGCGTCAAATGGACCAAAATATAATGTTGCAGATTTAGGTCAGATGATTGTGGGGGCCAATCAATGGCATCAATTCCTTCATCCTCCAGGAAATGCCTGCATGCTCTCACAGGACCAGCATAGGGTCTGACAATGAGTCCAAGGATTTCATACTAATAACTAATTGAATTGAATTGAATTGATATACCTTTATTAGTCCCACAAGGGGAAATTTCATGGCAGTCAGGGTGCCGTTGCATAGCCTGTTGAAGAGACGACCCATCACCCACTGACCCAACACCAAACTGATCGGGCTGCACAATGTAATAGGCAACTGAATGTTGTCCACGGCTTCTCCAGACCCTTTTCACATGTGCTCAGGGTGAACCTGCTCTCATCTGTGAAAATCACAGAGAGCTAGTGTTGGACATGACAACTTTGGTATTCTATGGCAAATTCCAGTTGGGCTCCACAGTGCCCAGGAGTCCTGTTTTTGATTGTTTTGTTAGAGACATTCATGTCAGTGACCTGCTGGAGGTCATTTTGCAGTGCTCTGGCAAAGCTCATCCTGTTTGTCCTTGCACAATGGTCCTACTGATGGAGTAAGGAACTTCCACGGCCCTGTCCAGCTCTGCTAGAGTAACTGCCTGTTTGCTGGAATCTCCTCCATGTGCTTGAGATTGTGCTGGGAGAATCAGCAAATCTTCTGGCAATGGTATGTACTGATGTGCCATCCTGGAGGACTTGGACTACCTGTGCAACCTCTGTAGGGTCCAGGTATTGCCTTTTTGTCATAAACGGGCTGTGTGGAGGCAGATGAGGACCCAAACGCAAAACTCACAGAGACAAAAAGCTAAACTCAAAATCACTGCTTTATTGCAGGTTTCACAAAGAAACAAAACTAAACTGGGAACGCTAACTGAGGACCGAGGGAACACAGAAGGGCACACAGGTTCGGGGAGGAGACACGCACATAAATACACAGAGGGTTAACGAGGGAAGTGGGAGCACACGGGAAACACAGCTGATACAGATAATCATAACGAGACACGGCAGGAGTAAACACAACACTGACGGGAGACTGTCAAAGTAAAACAGGAAGTACGCAGAGGTGCAGACAGGAGGAGAGAGAGAGAACAGACATAACGGGCTGGGGAAAACATTGAATGAAACACAAGGAGGGGAAACGAGGGCTCACAGATACACAGAGGGGCACACAGGGACATGTTAACAGAACAACCTAGGAACCACGGCATAAATAAAGAACAAAATACAAAACACGTGAAAACTAAGAATGCTGGGCCAATATGGCCCAGGATCATGACACTTTTGCTATCAGTAGTGACACTTTGCATAACCAAATGCAAAACTAGAGAAAATAAACAGTCAGAAAGGATGATTTTGGGGGGGGGGGGGAATGTCAGTGGCCTCCACTTGTAAAACCATTCCTGTTTTAGTGGTTTTCTCATTGTTGCCCTTCTAGTTAATTTAATTAACACCAAAGCAGCTAAAACTGATAAACAACCCCATCTGTTACTTAAATAACCAGAGCAATATTGCAGAAGTTGAACTGACTTGATGCAATACTCTGATTAAAAAGTGTTCCTTTAATTGTTTTGAGCATTGCACAGGAAGCTTTGTTGTTTTCCTGTTTTTAGGGCAAGCTAAATGTGCCAGCTGCTGGCATAAACCAGTATGAGAGTGGTACTGGTCATGTCATTTAACTGTCAACAAACAAGTATATTTTGCTAGGCACCAGAACGCAGTTGTATTATATTATGTTTAATGCTTTGCTTGGTTTGCACAAGTCTTTCCATGTGTTTGTTAATGCTTTGTTATCATGTGCTTTATTAGTGGTATAAATTGAAATTTTAATTGGAATTGATTGCAGTAACAAAATAAAGGCTAAGTCTGAATTTACCATTGTTTTGTGAGACTTGTGGACGAAACGACAACTATCATTGTAATGTTCTTTGTTTGGTGTCTGTATACACTGGGAAGGCTTAAATCCACCCTACACACCAAACCCATAACCTTTGTATAGATAATACATGTGTTCATTTGTTATTCATGATTGTGCATAGAGGTGGTGCCTTCTGCTCCATGTTACTGAATGTTAGGGTGTAAAATGGCCGCTCTCCATCGAGGGAAGTTTCAGCTGAGATTAGCTACGGTTGAGGGGGGAAAAAACAGGGAAGACTGGAAAGAGGAGAGAAAGAGAGAAGAAGTGTAGAAGAAAAAAAAGAGGATGAGATCCTGTGCAGAGAGAAGCTAGAGTGGATTGAGTGTGAAAGAAGCAATCAGGTGCAGTTAGACAGCCGCAAAACGAGAAAGGGTGAAGGAGAAGAAACGAAGGAGAGAAAAAGCTGTGAGAGGCTGTCAGATAAAAAAAAAAGTCAGAGGTCTAGCACTTCTGTGGATTCTGCTGCAGAAAATATGCTTTCAAATGTGTTGGGTTTCGAGTGTTTTTGACTGTGCTGCTTGCTGATGTTTGTGTGTCGAGTTGTTTCTGTGTTTTTGTCTCTGACAATAAATCCCAGGTTCTGCCAATACCGGCTCCCACTGATGTCAAGGAGTAGTTATCAACATGCAGCATATTTTACTGGTGGTTGGAACTCTTGTTTTCCTGCATCTCCTTCTTCTCACTTCTGCAAAAGAACTACATGTGCACATGGTAACTTTTTTTTCCCTCTTTGAAAACTTTTGGCTGCTCCAAAGCTGTTCATGGAATCCTGAAATACCCATTTGACCTGTTTCTGTGTGAAAGTTTGTACGTGTTTGGTTTGCTACTAGTTTGTCTGAATACCTTGTGATGCCAGTAGGGGTCTCTGCCTCTCCACGTCACTCACCCGGCCACCAGTGGTGTCCGCTGCGTTTGGCTACTCAAAGAGGCTGAGGCACAAGCCTGCAGTAAGCTCTTGTCAGTTACCGTCGGAAGTCACCAAAAATCATTAAAGGATGTTTTGATGTGTGGAGACTTGTCTGTCTCACTGAGTCATCTTCTGTTCTCTCTTTCTCTTCTGCAAACCCCTGTTTCCTTGACAACCAGGTGCAAGCAAGTAGACCTGTAGACAGGAACCATTTTCACATCTTCTTCTACATTTATGCGATGCCACTCCCAGGGATTGGGATTTTAAATGAGTTTTATTATACATTTTTAGTGACTAAACATGAATGTGAGAGATGAAGAACAAGAGGAGAAGATGAGAATTAATGAGCACACAAAGTGTAATGAAATTTAAATGAAAATAGCAACATAGTCATTACATACAACGTAACCATAGTACCACTCAGCTGCAATGCTTGTGTGAACCAGTTTTAGCAATTGTGAATGACTGTATAATTTGAAATAAAATTACCTTAAGTGGGCAGTTTATTTTTCTATATACAAAGAAACTGACTCCAGTCCACAGTAGCAGTGAATATTCTTGTATCTTACCTGTTTACAAAGCAATACAGATGCATACATAAATGTTAAGATATGAATTTAATGGTTCGATAAGCTTAAACATGTTACTCTGGGGTGCTGTTATAGCTCGCTGGGTTGAGCAGGCAACCCATGCGCTGCAGGGTTATTACAGCTCAGGGCCATTTGCTGCATGCCTTCCTCTTGCACACTCTCCCATCTTTCCTCTCCAGAATTAACTGTCATAATAAAAGCTAAAGAAGGAAAAAAAATTAAAAAAAAAAACACTATTCACAGATGCTTAATGTACATACAGTTCTGTGAAAAAAGTATTTACCCAGTTCCTGATTTCTTCTTTTTTTTTTTTTTTAAATCATCAGACAACCCAAGTAAATACAGAAATGCAGTTTTTAAATGATAATTTCATTTATCAATGGAAAAAAAAACTATCCTGAAAACTTCAGCTAGCTCTATGTGAAAAAGTAAGATTTCACTCACCCCTAAATGGGGACAGTCTTAGTATAGTAAGCCATATTATTTGTCTAAAAAATATCATAAAAAAATCTTCTACACAAGTTTTGAATAAGTTTTGTAAGAATTCCATCTACTTTCATACAAAATCCACCATTTCCAGAGGTTCAAAAAATAATCGGAGAGTTGACTAACAAGCAGTTTCATGGCCAGGTGAGGCCTGTTTCCTTGGTATTTAATGACAAATGAAGCAGATGTAATAAGTTGATTCAAAGCCTTGAATATGTATTTTATAACATTTCAGGGTTAGATGTCAGTGCAAATGAGTAAGACCATTACACTCAAAACCACCAACATTGCCCAATCAAAAAACTGGTTCATTCTTAAGAAGAAGAAATTCACAACAAAAGCCCTGAAAAACCACAGAAGAGTGCATGAATTATTTCCATGCATAAGAAAAACTTCACAATATCAGACCAAGTCAAGAATACTCTTGAGGAGGTAGCCATACTATTGTATGCTATCATCATGTGTTCATGAATGGAAATACAGAGAACTTTAAAAAAAGGCACAAACCAGTGGTTACACTCACATCATCTGTCAAACATGGCAGTGGCACTGTTATTGATAATATGGCAGAAAGTGTGAATGAGAGATCCTTCAAAATGCTGCAAAACTGACTGGAGATCAGTTGTACTGTAGCTTTTAAGTCCTCAGTGTCAAGGTCAGTCCCCTGATCTCAAGCCATTACAGCGTGCGTTTCATCTATTAAATACAAAGCTGAAGGCAGAGAGAGACTCAAGCAGTAATAAAGGAGGGAAATGAGTTTAGGAATTACGTATAAATAAATTACATAATAGTATTTCCTAACCTTGCTGCAGCTATGCTTCAAAACTGGTCTTTACAAACCAATTGATGCTGGTTATGTCTATGTTTTCTACACAGTGAATTGTGTTTTGACGTGACATCTTCATATTGGCACTGTGAACATTTCCAGTAATAGTGGTATAGTCGTAACCATAGCGTCCCAAGCTGTTAGCTGTGTTCAACTGCCAAGAATCATGTGGCTCCACTAATTAGGGGTCACGTGATCTGTTTAATTTGGTAAGTTTTAGTGATTATTGGAATTGTAAAATTATTATCACGACTCAGTTTATCCACAGAAAAATAAAAACAAACTAGCTTTGTGATCATAAAGCAGATTTAACAATCTGTATAAATCACCAGAGGGGCTTTCAGACCAGCCAAGTGCATGCACTGTGCTATTATACCGGGAGAGAAGGGACAAAGCAGGCTATCATTTATAAATAGAAAGATTCGGCACACGCAATGTCACGCTGGAGGAAAATGGGTCTGTTGAATTTGTGTTGAGTAAGCAGTGACTGGAGTTTTTTTTTTATTAGGAGGAAATAGAGCGTTTAATTTCATGCTAATTCTCAGCATTACAGCCAAATGTGATTTAAAAACTCCCTCTGCACTAAGTGCCAGAACTTTCATGTCTGCGTGCATGTGTATATGTGTGTGAGTAAGCACAACAGAACAGGTAGCCAGAGCCCCAAGTCCTCGTCTAAACCCTGCCCCTTCCTTCCTCTGTCAGCTGATGCGCTACGAGCTGCTCTCTCTCCTCCCTCCTTCATCTTTCTTGTCTCATTCTGTCTTTATCGCTGACCAAATATCGTACTCTCTTTTCCTCAGCCTGCCCCTGTTTATCCATCTCTCTACCCTCACTTTTTCTATTGCTCTCCCGCTCCCTGTTTTTGTATTCTTCTTTCCTGCTGTGTCTCATCCCAGGCTGTAATAATATCAGACTGACTAGTGGAGTGCTGTTGTCCGAGCGACTGGCAGAGGGAGCAGTACAGGAGTTTTATTTAGCCCTGCTGCACTCTTTGTGGACCAGGATTCTGAGGAATTATCCCTCCGTTCCACCATCCTCACCCCCTTTACCTACTACTCCTCATCCTCTTCCTGTCTCTCATTTTAAGGGGTGTCCATTTGAAGGCTCTGATATGTTTAGCATTCACCATGAACCCTACAGTCAAGATCCACCTTCAGAATGGGACCCACTTTAACACCTACATGTACCAGGTAGGGACTCGGCATTCATGCAGTGTTTGGATATTTCCAGTGAAGGATTGCCTTCAGCTCAAATAGCTCACTCTGCGGTCTCCACATGTCCTTGCCTGAGTATTGATTTCAGTGCTGATGGCTCTTTTCTAGGTCTGAGATATGGCCTTCTCTCCACCTCCTCTTCCTCCCTCCTCCTCCTTCCTTTTCACCACTATGCCTCAATCACTCTGCAAAGAATGATTAATGTCTTGCAGTAAAGCAAATTGCATATTCGTTTAGAAATGTGGGTACACTGTCACCAACAGAGCCTTTCACTGGTTCATGTGGTTAGTAGCACGTTTTCAACTTCCATTGTTTGTGAATATAATAGAGATAGATATCTGTCATACACTGATTATGAACTCTCTCTTTTTCTGTGACTGCTGTGCATGCTTGACTTGCCTTATGCTTGTTACGGCACGCGTGCAAGAGACAGACTCTACTGATGCGCAACAAAAACTCTTTGTGCTTCTCCTTTCAACCGAGCAGAGGAAGTATTCCCCTCTTATCCTTCCTCTCTTTCTTTTGTCCCCTTTTCTGGCACAGGTTTTGTTTTGCTTTGATGAAGAAAACTCTGATACATGAATGGATGCTATTCTGGGTTTAGGCCTTCAATGGCACGGAGGAGGAGGAGAGAAAGTTGGGAAACTTGGAGGGATTTGACACCTATTTGCACGCTGAATGTGATATTCTGAAACACGGAGACATGCCCGATGTGCCAGCTATGCCATCTTGTGCAATACAATACACCGTGCCATTTTTGTGCTCTGAAGTCTTGCTGTTTTAAAACTTTTGATATGCATATTTTTACAGCAGACTTTCTCCTAGGTTTTATTTAAAACCCTGAAAAAATAATTTAAACTATTTTCACTTTGATTTTTATCAGTGTTTTAGAAAACTACATATCTGGGGAAGTTTTGTCCTTTTATTTCTAAGGTGCTTCGCCTGGACTTTAACATATTTCTGTAAAAATCCAGGTAAGCTTGTACATGAATTCTTTAAGAGTAGTCCTGAATACTATAAATGGTGTAAATGGTGATGCCTTTGAAGACAATAATATCAACAGAAAGCTAGGTAGGTGTAGGGACTTATGGGAATGTAAATATTTAGGATCAAAATGTTAATTTAGAAGTTTTATTTATTTCAGTTCATTCAACTTTGATTGGAGTGGACGTGTAATATGGAATCTGGCAACTTATACTAAGGTTTAATACTGGTCAACGAAAAGGACCAAGACTCCTGTAGACCTCTGGCTAGATTTAATTTGGTGGGAAAAAAACTACAACATTTCTGTAATTGTACAATTTAACTACAAATACATGGACAGGAGCATAAACTAAAAGCTCATTATCTAGATAGAGGGCGATCGTGGCTCAAGAGTTGGGAGTTCGCCTTGTAATCGGAAGGTTGCCGGTTCGAGCCCCGGCTTGGACAGTCTTGGTCGTTGTGTCCTTGGGCAAGACACTTCACCCGTTGCCTACTGGTGGTGGTCAGAGGGCCCGGTGGCGCCAGTGTCCGGCAGCCTCGCCTCTGTCAGTGCGCCCCAGGGTGGCTGTGGCTACAATGTAGCTTGCCATCACCAGTGTGTGAATGTGTGCGTGAATGGGTGGATGACTGGATATGTAAAGCGCTTTGGGGTCCTTAGGGACTAGTAAAAGCGCTATATAAATACAGGCCATTTACCATTTAGATCACCATCAGAGCATTAAAATAGTGTGATGGCAGCCAAACAGTTAACAGTATTAAGCTTCAAAGCTTGTATTCTACAATAATAGAGAGAAAACCCCAACAGTTAAAAGACCCCCTTTGACCAAGCACTTGCCGATAATGAGAGAAAAAACTCCCTTTTAACAGGAAGAAACCTCCGGCTCAGAACCAGGCTCAGGGAGGAGCAGCCATCTGCCGTGACTGGTTGGGGGTGTTCAGAGGAAGACAGGACCAAAGACACAATGTGGAAGAGAGCCAGACATTAATTCATTCATTCATTTCTTAGAGTTAGAAACTGTAAAACAACAATTTAACTTTGTCAAACTTATCCGCCAGTACTTTAACAGGGAAAACAGTGTAGGCTGAATTATGAGCAATTCAGCCTACGCTGGTGCAGTGGGACAGATGTATTTTAATACATGGCTGGGGCAGATGTATTAAAACACATCTGTCCCAGCCATCAGGGTTCGTATTGTTGTTTAGTTTCCACACTGTGCCTTCTGTAGGAAAACTTTCGGAAAAGTTTTTGGTTATACTCGTGCCTCCAGAGCATCAGTCTGAGCTGGGATCTGTCAAGAGCTGCAGTCAGCTGCTGCTGCTGCATCCTTCCCCAGTCTCAAGTGCTGTCACGCCATCATACAGAAGGAAAACCTCTCAGCGGCTTTGTGCATGTTTGTGTTGTAGTGTGTGCAACAGAATGTATCTGCATTCATTTGATGAAACATTTCATGCAAAGTTTGTCTGCTGCTCAAACACTTTCCTAATGAGCTGTTGCCGTGGCGTTGGCAGCAGTGTGAGAGGTGGCGTCATGGCAACAGATTACTCACTGGCTACTTTAGAGCCAACACCCCAGCTAGGTGTTTTTTCGTCATGGCTCTTGTGTAGGTTCGCGCTTTTGTGTCTATATGTATGTCTGTGTGTGTGTCTGTGTGTGTGCGTGCTGATTAAGATTTGCCAGAGGAAGGTCGAGTCCACCTTTCGGCTGTTTGCCACTTCGCTCTTCCTCTCTCTGCAGTGGTGAAGAGTTACAGAGCTGTGATATCTGAATCTCTCCAGGGACTCACTCATTCTCCAGTCTCTGACCCTGCATTCATCTTTGCTGTGGCATCCCTTGGTGAATTACCAAGATTTACATCACAGTTGGTGTAGACAGTTGTCTTTCGATGTGTGCATGTGAAAGGAATTTAGTCAGTAGGCATAATCTCTGATATTGTATTGTAGCTTGCTTTTCTTTGCCTCTCCACAGCAAATGAACAGTTCTGTGGTTTAAATCTAAAAAGATTTAGCCTCACCAGTGCATTATCATGAGTGTGCATTGTATAACTTTATGCAGAAAAAACACTTGATATCTTGGTGTATTTGCAACAGCTGTTCAGCTAGACTTTAGTGAACTCTGTAGGCAGAACTGAACTTTTTCACTGCTATTGCTCATCCACAGACAGAAAAGTGGGTAAACCAAAACTATTTATAGTCATAATGGTGACAGAGAGCTGAATACTGCTGCTCACTTATTGTCGCTTTTGTCTTTACCCTAGCTTTAACAACTCTTCTTGATATAGCTGATCAGCTTACATCATACCATTTAAAAGGTTGCAAACAATAAAATTAAAGAAAATATGAAAAACAACATAAAAATACAATTAATTTAGGATTCAAGATTAAAGAAGATACAAGAAGCAAATTAATTAAAGCAATTGAAAACAGAAGCTAAATAATTTGCAAAAACAAATTTATCGAGGAATTCATTGTTAGGGTGCACTGTGTAGAAATCGGGGTGGTTGGAGAAAAAGAAAAACTAACCACCAGTCATCTAAGTGCAGTATGAACGTACAGTAAAACGCACTGGACCAAGTTTAATATTACCCATAGCACTAGTGTAGCATAGAAGTGATGTACATTGGCAGTTCTCCAATGAGGGCCTTATGTCTGTCAAATCCCTTGGCCACAGAGACCATGCAACTTTTTCATATAAGATGCCTTGATGAGTACAATAAACATCACCATAGAATAAACCTAATGACATAATGATAAACAGTGTCCAAGTTGATGTTTAGAATGTGTTTTGTAGAGATGTAAAATATATTCACGCTGCTGATGTGCGAGATCATAAATTAGCATAAATGATATCATGTAACACAACCCTGTCCTGTGAATCATGTGAATATGATGTGATGTGCGAATGTTTACAGCTTCACTCGCTTTCCTGTCTTGCTTAGTCACAAGTGTCCCTTGTTTCCTTTCCTTCCACCTGCTGATGCTTAGAGAGGAAATGCTTGACCTCAGCGCGTTCAAGCTCTGGCAAGTGTCCATTCATGTTTGCTTTGGCTTCACTCTCCTGTCTTGTAAATCCTGTCACACATTTTAGAAGTACAACTGATCAGTTTATAAATCCATTCTAAGGACACAACGTCCTGGAGTATCAAGTGAGATAGTTTACATTTCTGTAAATTTTTGACTCTCGTTAACAAATCCCAGTTTGCCAACGAGCTGTGGAGACACTGATGAGAATTTCTGCACGTAAAAAAAAGAGTTGGAAAAGTCACAGTGTAGTGGGTTAGTGCCAAATTGCCAGATTTTCACTGTTAGCATCACCGTGGTTCATTTATGTTTGTGGGCTCCTATATCAACAAGCATACTGTTAAGTGATATTACCAGAAGATAAATGAATTACTCCTACTGTAGTCCAGGACATGTTGATACTGTTTCAGTAGATTCTAAGATGTAAAAATTCAATTTAAATCTCTTAAATCTTGGATGAAGTTATATAAGGACATAACACTGTCAAAGCAGATTAAGAGGAAATTCTGTGTTTTCTTTGACTATGATTGACTGTGGCAGTATGATAGTGTGGTACATGATGGTGCACTGTCATCTCACAGCAAAAAGGTCCAAGGTCTGAATCCACTGTCTGACTGGAGCCTCTCTGTGTGGTGTTTGCATGTTTTCCCTGTCTCTTCTTGGGTTCCCTTTAGACACTCTGGCTTCCTCCCAAAGTCCAAAGACATGCATGTTAACTTAATTGCTGATTCTGAATTGGCCGTAGGTGTGAGTGGTTTTCTGTGTTAGCCCTGTGACAGGCTGTACCCTGCCTCTTTCCCTTTGACAGCTGGGATTTGCTCCAGGCCCTCTGCAACCCTTAATTGGATAAGCATAAGAAAATGGACAGATGGATGGATTGAATATGATTGCTGTATTAATTTATTAAGGATCACAGTCAGAGAAGGTGCCATGCTGGGTATTTTCACAGTGATTACATCAATAAGAATAGAAAT